TCTTATTTTAGGGGAAACAGGGTATGTCACCTCTCTACCTCCAGCCTGGTCACTGGACGCTAAATCAACATCATCACCTCTGAGCCAAGAAGCTATATATCACCACTTTTACTCAGACTGAACATTGAAGCAGTACGTCACATGTATTCACAGGTTTATTGCCTGTAAACTGAATGACTGCAAGTTTGGTCACCAGTATGCATATGTCCAGGGGCTGACTGGCAACTTTTAGCCCAGGGGGCAAGTACAACCCAGAGGCCCATGGTGCAGCGACTGTCCAAAACCTGGCCATAGAAATGGCAATTTTCAGCCAATTTAATCCAATTTTAACCAGGTTTTGAACGTATTGTCAAACAGAGCAGGGGCCATCAGTTGCATCGATGCCATCAGTTAAGCAGCACTTTGAGATGTTTCTGAGATCATTCAGAATAGACTGGTGTATTTGACCTGCAGTTGACCTCCTCCTGACCTGCATTTTACCTGCTTCAAGGGTGCATGACATTGCTATAGACTTTCATGGTAATACAAAGCCTGTTTGAAGTGAATAAAGGCCAGTTGACAAGGGCCCTAAGGCAAGGTTTCTCAACCCGGGTTCTGCAAGGGGCCCCTTCGCCATTGCAGAAGATTTATATCTGCCCAACAGCGCTTTAACTTTTCCCCAGTAGCCACCATCAGAGAGGACGCTTGGAGTGACATTATCAGAGAGACGGAACTATATATTGCTGTCACCATTGCCACCAACTGCTACCCAGAGCTCTTTCATGTGTGGACTGGGCTCCCAGCCCAGTCAGCCTATGTGGCCCCTAGTGCATGTACAGTGGGAGACCCCCTCCTATCCGGACCCTGAATAGCTCCATGCATCTTTTCTGCAAAAGAAAGCCGAGGAGGAGGGTTGGAGGAGGGTGTAAATCCACAGCCCCAGGTAGCCTTATCTGATGGACCACCTGCCAGTGTATGGCTGACCCTAAACACCAATGCAAAAGGTAAAGTTTTAACATGAACACCAATGCAAAGTTTACGTTTTTCTCTGAGCACCAATTCAAATTTAAAACCATTCCCTAAACACCAATACAAAATTAAATGTTCACACAACACCAATGCAAATTTGAAGACTTGCAATGAGCGTCCAATGCAGAGTCAGTTTCTCAATAAGCAAACATGAAAGGTTAGCATTACCACTGAGCACCCATGTTCAAATTCAGTATATTCAGTCATTTGGTATGCAATACTGTTTTATATTTTATTAATGTTTGACATATCTACAAATATATTGCTATATCTACAACTCACTGATCACACTAATGTACCATGAGCTGTAGATGAGAAAATTATTTCATGGGTTCCCCATGATCTTACAGTGTTTACAAGGGTTCCTCGAAGATAAAAAGGTTGAGATAGGCGGCCCTAAGGTATTTTGTAACCAACTGTTTTGTCTGTATTTAAAATTACCGAGACCAATGAGTTCCTAATGGAATGTATAGTAGTTTTATACATAGATGTTTTACTATGGAGGGGACTAATATATATATATTAGGCAATTTTATATCCAGCCAGCAGGTGGAACCTTAGGCTCTCTTTGACATGTTTTCCTTTATCTTGTTAACAGAGCTCAGTAGACCAAGCTAATTGATCTTCCTCCCGCCACCCGTATAAGGTTTCAATCAGACAGAATGAGGCTGAAGGCAAGGAACTTCTTTTTTTTGCCAGTAAAAAGGTGGTTTTATCTCTTTCAACATTCAGTATCACCTATGGTGTCTATATGCCTTGAGGGAAATCTATGCAAAAAAAGGTATGCCAGAATGATCATTATTTTCAAGTGATTGTTATTTTCAGCTTTCGTTGCATAAATTAGTAGGCATTCTTCCAAACAACACATGCATTATAGCTTAGTAAATTGAGCCTAATACAGTTGATAAAAAGATATAGGGTGCTTAAATTGGGGAGGTTTTATATGATGACATGGCGTTTGTTTGGCCATATTGGTCATTCTACTTATATAGTGATGTTGTAAAAATCAGCACAGCCCACACATAGCCCAGTTATTGACAGATTCGATCTGCAATCATCTAATGTGCTGTATAGTTAGAATGGGTACATGCACCTTTAGAGCATGATGTTCAGGTATGACTGCAGGAATGAGATCTGCGATCAGGTGAGGATTTTAGAGTGATCACAATGATTCAGTTATCCGCATCCATTATCTCCTGTGCTTTGGGAATTGTGACTGACAACATCAAAATGAAAGCTCAGCAAAAGCCAGCTGATGTAGGGTCAGCATGCATAATACATATTCATATTTTCCCTTGAAACATCCCTTCTCATGTCACCATCATAGAACACACTGAGCTATGTCAATTTATACCTCAGGTGGCCAAGCATTAGTTACCATGGTTACTCATTTGCATTACATATGGCCAAAGGAATAAACTGTGCTACAGTTCCGTCTTTTGCAGTTTTTCCCTAGTCAGCAGGATGCTGAAAATATAAATAAATATTACAAAATAATTATGATTTACAAGCAACGACTCTCAAAATGTGCTAAGGCGAACAGGATTACTCGTTTTATAAGTGCATTTACATTATGACACCAGGGGGCACTGCGACAGCTTATGGAACCCTATAGGATTCGAATAAAGCTTTAACAACAAATTCTGTACGAGGCTGATCCCTTTAAATGTAATTTTGCTGCATTAAAGTGGTAGCCAACCCAAAAATGATATTGTTGAGAATATAGACAAAAAGTCTTGGAGCAAGTAGAGCGCAAATCTTTTTTATATATAGATATATATCTATATATATATACACACACACATATACATACATAAATAAAAAGGGCCAAGTATTAAAGCCCAATTGAACCCTCCTATTATACAGTAATGCAGTCAGGCTGCATATAATGTAATTAATAGGCCCCATTTTACCAGATAAGTGCTGCAGCAAGGGTTAAGAACCCTGTTCTGGCAACTCTCACAGATAAGCAGCAGCTCTGCTTAGGGGGGCCACAGAAGAGCTTGTGTGTGAGAGCTGCGGTCCAACTTTACTATCTACTGGCAGCACAGGGTTGTTTAACCCTTGCTGCACCACTTGGCTAATAATAAAAGAGGCATATTATTACTGCATATGCAATCTGACTGCATTACAGTAATACATTAAAAAAGGGTTCATATGGGCTTTAAACAAGATTGCAAAATGAATAACACTATGTGGCTGATGTGTACACATTCTTACCAGCATACAACTGGACAAATGTCGTACGCATTGCATTCCACCACTGGATGGAGCCAGGGAGCATAGGATTTCCCTTTGCTCCTTGGTTTTATCTAGTGGCAAGGATGCTGTACAAATGGCATTCTCCCAGCTATACGTTGAGCTGAACGTTCATACATCATCCCATCAGTAAACACAACAAAAGCTGCCCATATACCTATATGAAGCAGACTGAAACAGAAATCAAAAACGTTGTCCTTGTGTCCTACAGAAAATGATAGGTAATGCAAAATGCTTCGGTTGTCACCAGAACAGGACAAGAGGGGAAATCTCCCAAGGGGGACCCTGTTCCTGCGACAAATGTCTAAGGAGATTTCCTCTTACTTCCTGTTGTGTTTCTGGGAAAAAAGGGAAATCCCTTTGACAGGGCTCAGACAAGAAAAATACCTGACACGGATTCTAGCTATTCCCTACTGTAAGCAAAACTAAAACAAAAATGTTTTACCATTACATTTCAACAGTTATTGAATAAAAATTTGCATCAAAAATTACTTTATATGGTACATTCCAGGCAAAATTGAAAATTAAGTCTAGAACTGCATACAGGAAGCACAGCCAGACGGCTCAGTCCTTCAGTGTTAGATCCAGGCATCGTGAAACATCTGTGCATTGACGTGTGCTGGGAAAAAATAGTTCAGGTGTGTTGAAAGGTTGGTTGTGGTGCATTAGCAGCCCATTCATTTTAAATGTGCGTGTGGTACCTACTGCAAAGGTCTGGATCTGGCCTTATAAATTAACCTGTCATGAGATAAGTATGGGGGCTGCAACTGTTGTCCTTCTCAAAAATGCTAGTTTTTTGGCTGTCCCTGGCTTGAAGATGTTCAGTGTCTCTGTCCTGGAATGCCGCCAGTTGAATATGAGTGACAATATGCTGCTCATGTTGTGTCAGTGACAAGAAAGCACCAAAGCCAGAGGATCAGCTCAATAGCCAGGTAGTAATACGTTTCAGAGGCACATCAGTAAGGGCAGTCCCCACAAATCTCTTATCAAGACACAATCCAATCAACCAGGAATGAGTAAAGCTTGCCATACATTATGCTAATTTTGGCTGGTTCCTCATGAAGCGTCCAAAACTCACTAGCATTCCATGATCGGCAGATTGAAGGAGCCGGTTGGAAAACTTTTGAACGAATGGTGCTTGAAGCCACTCATCTATATAATACAAATACAAAGACAGCGAGGTATTCATTCTCATAAGCGTTGATGGAAGAATCTGTTCTATTTTCTTTGGTTCAGCCATTGGGTTGAACGAAAAGAATAGAACAGTGTATAGCAAGCTTAGATTCTAAATAGACACAAGTGCCAACAGGCTATGATTAGCGATGATTCTTATGTGCGACTTTTAATGACTTCTTAATGACTCCACAGACGTTGGAGCCACCTCCGGTGTGGATATCTCACTAATGAAGCTCCTCAGGATTATAAAGGCTAAAAGGTCATCAAACTGATCAGCAACCCATCCAAACCTGAAATCTCATTTATAGGCTGACTGACCATTGAGGAAGTTACTTGTGTAATCTATCTACACCACGGGTAGCCAAACTGTGGCCATCCAGCTGTGGTGAAACCTCAAATCCTATAATGCATCATACCTCTGGAAGTCATGCCTGTCAGAGCCTTGCAATGCATTATGGGGCTCGTAGTTCCACAACAGCTGGAGGGCTGAGGTTTGACTACCCCGATCCATACTTCGTCATCATCAGTAAGAAACAAGATTACAGAAAATGTGTTACCAGCTTTGCCTCTGACTGGACAGGTGGGGGCGATGAAGGGCCTGGAATTCCTGGGATAGTAGGCACCACGGTGACAGGTCTGACAATCTGCAAGCGTAGAAAACATATTTCATCCACATGTCCATTGCCTGTTCACTTCAAAACATTAAACTGCATTTGTTCCACATTTACAAGCTTTCTAAATGTTCCTTGTGTATCCAAAATAAAACATGAAGTACACCGGTCACCTTTAATGTTGGCTTATGATTATTTTGGCAGATTATTAAAAGAGCTCTAAAGTCCCAGCATATCCTCTCATGTTATAACATCAGCATTGTAATAGGATTACATACTAGAGTTGTTTTTGATAATACAACCAAAGTTTACTTGAAAAAAAATCCCTTTTATGTAGTGAACACTGCCTTCTGTCTGCCCATCACTCTCATCAACTTCCTGGATTCCGCGCGTGCTTTCATTTCTTTTCCTGCTGCTTGAGGTGATGCAATCTCGATTTCTGAAGACTACATGTCCCATAATGCATTGCTCCCGGCAAGCAATGATGATGTTACATTGTTCAGATGTTGAGTCGTAGTTCAGCAGGCACAGTTGTGACACAAGGAAGTGCCTATTAGGCTTGTCCTTATATTACATAGTTTTGGTAAACCTAAAGAGATTGTACAATCTGGTTGTATAGCGTATGGCCTGCTTAAGGGAGCTGTTTATCTGTCAAAAGACTTGTACTGTTGTCCATTCGGTTCTGAGATTTTCACAGCACAGCTTGGTAGATGTCAATACGTTCTCTATAGAGTTAAAGAATGCAGTGGTGTCATCTCCCCACCCCCAGCTTGTTGACTGGACAGTAAAGGAGAAGTGGCAAACGTATGGTGCCAATTTTCTGCTCTCTCCTCAAATCATTAAGTTCCTTGCCAGACAAACATATTTGGAAGCAGCATGCGCAACCCAGAGTACAATTTCAGCATATGCCAGAATTAACTCCTGCACATGTTATGTCATCCCGGCACAGCCAATCAAGATGGCCCAAGGTCCCAAAGCTGGAAACAGACCGGCGAAAATGTTTGCACTGGAGAGGGAGTTTGCGGATGTTGTGTCATTCGAGGAAAGGTAAGTATAGCTAGCTTTTAGGTATTGGGGGTGTTGAGTCTTCATTTTATAGTTTAGGTTAAGTTTTAGTGTTCAACTGAAGGTTAGCCAGTCTAACCGAAAATATATCTAAAGATTAGGGCTGCAACTAACAATTATTTTTATAAATCGATTTGTTGGCCAATTAATCGGATTAAAAAAATTAAATACCACCTTTAATTTAAAATAAAATACACAAATGGAGTTTTACAAACAAAGTTTACTTCAGAATAAAACTGCATGCACATTTTTTTTTGCAATTGCACCGTTCTCAAATTTTTTTTTCTGCAGCCCCAGCACTTAATGAACAGGAAGCATGGAGTACAGAGGCCTCCTGTTCATTCATAAATGGAGGAGATAGTAAACAGATACTATGACCGCAATCATGAATGATCACGAAGTGATTTTCATTCATAATTGAGGACCCAGTATCTGAAAACTATGTCCTCAGTTATTTACAACGTACTGATCACTGCGATGTTTGAATATTACAGGGGAAATATTTGCTGATCGTCCCGCAGCTCTCCTCCCTGCACTGCCACCGACAGCTTTCTTCTCCCTTCGCTGGCAGGAGGATCAGCTCTGTGTTCCCTGCGATCCCCACTGTCTCTGCCGGGAGGAGAACAGCAGGGATCAGAGGGGACACAGAACGCAGCATGCAGCGGGCTCCAAGCAAGGAGGAGAAAGCTGCAGAGCCGATACGGCGAGGGGTTTGGTGGATCTCTCCTCAGGGATCGGAGCAGCAGGGATCGGAGGGGATACAGAGCCAATGAAACAGTGGCTCCCAGCGCGGAGGAGAGAACTAGAGGACCCAGACCAACTAATCGATAATGAGAGCCGTTGACAACTATTCTCATTATCGATTAGTTAGTTGCAGCTCTGCTAAAGACAAAATTTTATTTTTATGAAGTAGGGAATGGCTACTTTTTGTCGCAAGGCAATCAAACAGTTAAAATAGTAGTTTCAGTCCACTGCACAGAGATGGGCTCGAAACATCCCTGATTAAACTCAGAAAATCTGATTGCTTTTGCTGTACACTTACTGTAGTCTTCTCCATTTCTATTAAGATCTTTAAATAAACTGTATTAAATCTGTCAATATATTGCCCAGTTTCGACACAATTAACCAAATTCTGGTAGTCAAAGTCGTGGGTGTCAGATCGCTTAGTTTGTAATGATTCCTTGTGATTTTATGTAAGGAACATGGCAATGGAAAGTGTTTGAAATTGACAGAAAATTGCCGTCACCATAGCCAGCATTAGACAGCTGTCATTGCCATTGTAAAATTTCTGCTCTTTTCCTGTTATATACACCAATTAGCCATAACATTATGACCACCCACCTCATATTGAGTAGGTCACCAAAACAACCTTGACTTGTTGAGGCATGGACTGCACTAGAGGAGATATGCTGTGGTATCTGCACCAAGCCGTCAGTAACAGACCCTTTAAGTCCTGTAAGTTGCAAATTGGGGCCTCCATGGATCAGATTGTTTTTCTAGCACATCCCACAGATGCTCAATTGGATTGAAATCTGGAGAATTTGCAGGCCAAGTCAACACCTCAAACTCGTTGTTGTGTTCCTCACACCATTCTTGAATCATTTTTTGCAGTGTGGCAGGGGACATTATCCTACTGAAAGAGGCCACTACCATCAGGCTATACGGTTTCCAGGTCAGAGCAATGTTTAGGTAGGTGATACATGTCAAAGTAACATCTACATGAATGGCAGGAGGCAAGGTTTCCCAGCAGGACATTGCCCAAAGAATCACTTCCTCCGCCAGCTTGCCTTCTCGGTGGCCATAATGTTATGGCTCATTGATGTAGTTACACTTAAAGTTATAGCGGAAGTAAAGTTATAAAAATAAAATCCGCTGGGAGGTCAGGATTTTTGGCAGAAGGGATATGCAAAGTCTATTCTGGCAAATAAATTCTTCCTCTCTTCCCCAGTGACTTTATTTGCTGCATACATTGTACTGTACATCCACCATACAATGTATACAGCCCATTCATGGTATCTCTAAGATGCTGTGAATGGGCCTGATGTTGGAGAGGAAGTAACTCCTGTGTTACATCAGTGGCCACTCAGTGGCCAAAAAGGATACCTGGGAACCTGGAAATGTTGGTGGTCGGAGATGACAGTAACAGGGTACAGCACTGAGGAGCGAAGATCAATACAAAAGTGCTGGAGAAAAGCACACTTGTGAGGTAAGTGCTGTTCATACTTACAAATTAGGGCAGAAAACCCACTCTTCACATAGCAGTTTACTGCTGCATTAGTAGAGCTTAAAATAGACACAAGTCCATCCAGTTCAGTGTGTGTGTGTGTGTGTACGTTTGAGTCTCTAATAATTCTATGCTCCCTTAGGAAGTCATCTGAAAGTGTTTTCTTTTAATTTATCAACACTCTTAGCCAATACCACTACCTGGGGAAGGGCGTTCCATATTTTCAGTTTTAACAGTACAGAACCCCTTCTGCAATCTAAAACCTCCTTTCATCCAATATTAGATTTTGCCCATGTGTGTTCTTTAGGGACCTTAGAATGAACAGTGTATTCACCTTTTATCTATGTACATTGTGATCATATTCCCTCTTATGCGCTTCTTCTCCAGAGTGAATAACTGTAATCCTTGTAACACTTTCCCATAGCTGTTACAGCAACAAATTAAACTTTTGGATTCTTTTCTCCCTTTCGGTGTCACTGACAATGTCACCTGGAGAAGTTAAAGCTCTACAGCAGGGACGGCAATAAAAACCCGAGACTCTTCACCTCCCTATCCAAAAGGGGAAAAAATGTTGGCTTTAACCCTTGCGCTGCCAAGCCCTCCGGAACATTTTTCAAATCAGCTGGCCAAGCCATTTTCTTTAAGCTGACGGTTTATTAGGTTGATCTCTAGTATTGGTACACCGTTAAGTAGTTTCTGTAAAACATATAAACTATAGCAAATTTGATGGTGGATATTATTGACTTGCAGCCTGAGGTGTGAAGGTCAAATCAAAGTCCATTTTTAATAAAGTGATGGATGACAAGTGGCTGTGATCAAGCAACAGCACAATGCCCAGGTAGCTTAGCTCTAACAGCAATGGATAATTTGTATCTACTCAAGTACAGCTGAAGTCAGCACATTGAGAATTAGAACAATTGATCCAAAGAGCAAAACAGGTGAGGTAAAGTATAAAGAGGAATGGTTAATTAACACATTTTATTCAATTTAGATTACACGATTTCCCCAGATATAGGGAGAAAATCGGCTATAGCACTGTACCACTCTGCCTGTGTTAAGGTGCCCATACAACTTACGAATATCGGACGATTTTCGTTTGTGATCGCGTTTTCGTTCAATATTTGTAAGGTTGATGGGGAGTCTACAACCGCAAATACTGTATAATCGTACGACGGTCGTCTTTCCAGCATGCTAGAAAACTTCGGTTGATCGTACGATTTACGTAAGGTTGGTGGCGTTTCCGTACGTCAAAATTCGTACGATTAACACTGCTCATGCGCAAACGAAAATCCATGTGGTCGATTAACGAAATTTGTGCAGGTGATTTCTGCTAAAGACCGCTAATTGAACTGTGCGATGGTCGGGGCAGGATGGGGCCGCCGTACGAAAATTGTACGACGGTTCGATCATCGGACAAAATTTTTGTCCGATGATTGCAAGGTGTATGGGCACCTTTAGAACCATCCTTAGTTACATTGGCTATCAGGGAGCGCAGCTGCTCCTATGACACTAATGTGATCAATTCCTCTCAATCTACAAAGGCAAAAAGTTTTTATCTTTTACATTTATGCTTCTCCAGTACATTTGTAAGATAGAATCCCAGTAAGATTTCAAAGAGTAATCCCAAATCAATGACCGAATGGCAGCGGCTGCATCTTTAAGTGGCAGGCCGCATGTAATTGTATGTGATACAATTACAATTGATGCAATACAATAGCTGGGCTATTGGTTGCTCGGGCACCCAGTGCTGAAGCATGGAACACAGTGTTAACTTATGATCCTATATCTGGAAGTACTTGGGGTCGCAGTGACATAGGGTGTCTGCTACCAGATGCAGTCCGTTCAGTTTGGCAGCTGCATCAATATCACAATGGTTTCCTATGGGATTTCTGGTGCTCTGATCACACCAGTGCAGTCCGTTCTGCTGCAGTAAAAAAAAAAATACTGCTTGCCCTATTTTAGCTGCATTGGCTCGCAAAGGAATGCACCAAAGCGCATCACAAACGCATGCAACCGCATCGGAAAAAACATCCACACAAAAAAAAAGCAGAATTGGAAGTGCTCTGACAGGAGGAAGGAAATGACATAATGGTCTAATTTGCATTTTGAAAAAAAATAATGCATCGGATCGTGTCAAAATCGCTGTAAAACTGCAACAAACCACATCGCACTGCAGCTGCACAGACGTACACAGCTGTGATGCAGTTCTGGTGTGAACTAGCCCTTAGCCTTACCTGCATGCTTGTAGTAATACAGATGTGTGTGTGTATGTGTGCATAATATATATACAGGTGAAACTCATATAATTAGAATATCGTGCAAAGTTCATTTATTTCACTAATGCAACTTAAAAGGTGAAACTAATATATGAGATAGACTCATTACATGCAATGCAAGATAATTCAAGCCGTGATTTGTCATAATTGTGATGATTATGGCTTACAGCTCATGAAAACCCCAAGAACCCCAAATCCACAACCTCAAAAAAGTAGATTATTACATGCAATCAATAAAACAAGGATTGTACATAGAACAATATCGGACCTCTGAAAAGTACAAGCATGCATATGTACTCAGTACTTGGTTTGGGCCCCTTTTACTGCAATTACTTTTGCACGATATTCTAATTATTCGAGTTTCACCTGTATATTAGATAATTATACTAGAAGTATTAGAAAATAGTTTAAATATTTTTCAATTACTATATATAAAAACACTATATACCCAATTAAACATTTAAAAAAAAAAATATTCTCTGGAGTTCTCCTAAGAAATGTTTAAATTGCAATAATTTAAACAATTCTTTTATGAAGCACAACAAATTATCCAAGTCTATTCTTAAACACATTTGTTCTGAACATCGGTCGATTTTAAAGAAACATAAAATAGGGATTTACCACTAGAGGGCGAGCTTTACAAAGAAGAAAAAGGATTGCCTTGTATTGTCTCACGAGGAGAAAAAAAAACACCTATTGCTGCTTCTATATTCTAACTCAACACTATTAGATGTATTTAATAAGATAATGAAAAAAAGAGTTTTAGTGCAAAGAAGCACACTGCAGCCAATCGCATCTGCAAAAGCAAACTGCAACAAAGCCCAGATGCTAAACATGTTGGACACTGGAAAAGACTTACTAAAGCTGATTTCTATATTTCCTGTGAAAAGGAATAGCATCTTGCTTCAGACCCAACTTTCTAAAAACAAAGACCCCCTTTCTGCATATTCTTGAATGCAACAGGGGGTAATAAGCAAGGTGTTATTTGTACGCTAACCATGGACTTGGATATTGCAAAAGTGAGATCTTGGCACGATTCCTCCAGAAGTGTTTCATTGAGCTGGTAAGTTCAATACTGATGATCACTCAGCAAAGAATTTGCCTCCCATTACACTGCTTTGAAAAACACACATTTAAATCTTGGGTCTCCCCCTGATAAAATGCAGCCAAGAGCCATGGCAATGTCACGTGCACTTACACAGATGGAGCTGGCCAAGCGACAATCCATGGCAGTTTTGGCCCAGAGTTGTGAGGAATTGGCAGGACTGCTGCCAGCACAGGACAGAATGAGTAAGGATGAAATTTGCAGTGAACTTGAAGCTCGTGGCAAAGTTGAACCCTGGGTTCACTGCAAACTAAATGGCCTGTTCAGCCATCAAAACGTACCTTTGGCTGCAGCAGGAAGTACTGCCATTATTAGATGTGACAGCTTCTGATAGTTCCCCCTCCCCCCAAAGAGCCCCATATCCTCTTAGGGATTGGATGTGGGGATGAGACCTTTGTCCTCAAGAACATGGGAATACAGTGTCTTACCAGTGGGAAAGTGGAGGCTTCGCCGCTCTACACACCATGTTGAGGACATGTGGCCTAATATGGCTCGGAAGGGGGGTGGGGCGCACGCTTCAGGAGGGTCGGTGTTAATGACCAAAAGTGTTCAATATCACTGAATGAGTATTCCCCTTTTCTCCTTGTTGCATGGAAGCCTGCCATGCAAATGTAAGAGGAGGCATAAGTAGTTACACAATGGGGCAGATATTGGTTAGCGCCTCTGCCTTGCAGCACTGAATATTTCCAGTTCGAATCCAAGCCAGGCCACTATCTGCAAGGGGTTTGCACGTTCTCCGTGTGCTTGCGTGAGTTTTCTCTGGGTACTCCGGTTTCCTCCCACACTCCACAGACATGCTGGAAGGTTAATTGGCTCCTGTCTAAATTGGCGCCCTTGTATGTGAGAATGTGCAATAGAGACCTTAGATTGTAAGCTCCTTGAGGGCAGGGACTGATATGATGTGAATAAAGTGCTGCCTAAAAAATGTCAGTGCTATATAAATACCAATAATAAATAAACATAAATCTTCCACCAAGCATATAGCTTTGCAAATACTGTATGTTCAAACAGTGCTTCTGCCACTATATGGCACTGAGGAGCAGAGGAATTTCCTATGCTCCTAGACTACATCTAGTGCTGGTAGTGTCTTGCAAACAGCATCCACCCAGCTGTATGCTGGGAAAAAGATTTATAAACCAGTCCCCAAGTGTCACCTGTACAGGGAGATAAAATATGGCAAAATGAATCTCAGTGGGCGACTTCATCCACGCTGAAATATAAGGAGTTGCAGGATCTGAAGCCTCTTAACAATTACAGAAAGCACCTAATACAACATATTATTCAAATATGCCAACTTCAAGTGAATTTCTGATTCCAACAGTGGGAAAGCCCTTTGGTTTAGAAATTCCAATTGAAATGCAGAGTCGTGACCCTTGGATCTCCATTAGTCAGCTGTTCACAAGGCATTTCGAGCAACAGATTGTGAACTTAGTGGCTTCTACAATCAAAGCTGCATTAAGCTGCCCATACACCTGACGATTATCGTACGATAATTGTCAGGCGTATGGGCAGCGTGCGACCGCATATACTGTAAGGTCGCACGACTTTGGTCTTATGAGCACGCTAGAAAACCCGCTGAAAATCGTACGATTTTAAGCGGGTTGGTAGCGCGATCGCAAGGCGAAAGCCGCACGGGCCGAGGTGCGCAGGCGCACACTGGCCGCTCACCATTGCAATCATCTGTAAGCCCTCCCCTCAGTGGGGAGGACTTGCACTGATCGCAAGTACGATCAGCCTGTCCAAGATGGGCAGTTCGTACGGAATTTTAATCACCTTACAACCATCGCACAACGAAAGGTTGTAAGGTGTATAGTCCCCTTTAGACAGAAAAAGCTGATCAGTTTTAAAACTTTCCATATCTTTTAAGCTGCTTTACCCATGTTCAAGTGCGGTTACCCCTGTTAAATGCCAAGGGCGCTTACCCCTGTTAAATACCAAGGGGCGCTTACCCCTGTTAAATACCAAGGGCGGTTACCCCGGGTTAAAGTCCACGGGTGATTACCCCGGGTTAAAGTCCATGGGTGATTACCCCGGGGTTAAAGTCCACGGGTGATTACCCTGGGTTAAAGTCCACGGGTGGTTACCCCCATTAAGGTCCATGGATGTTTACCCCCGCCAAAGTCCAAGGGTGGTCACTCCTGCCTTTCAGCAAATTCCCAACAAAGAGATTTCCTCCTTTCTTGATGAGAAGGAAAACCCCTTTAAGAAAGAAAACATCTTAGGTTGGGTAAGCCCTTCAAGTATAAAATTATAAGCAAAATGAACATTGTTTATAATCTTGATTACATGGAAAAGAAAGTAATGGGACTATGAGATGAACACAAGGGAAATGAAAAAGTACACAATGAATATTCTACTACACATATCTACACATCAACACTCCTAGGAGAATCCACACACATGCAGACTTACTGGGACTGAAGCAGGTATGTGTACATTGGAATTGGTGATTGAGGCAGGAATAGCAACAGGCATGGTTTGTCCATTAGGTAGATGTAACAAGAGAGGAAAAGGAGCTGGAACTGGTCTGAGGATAGAAAAAAAGCAGGGTTCTCACCTTAAAAACAAGCCAACCACAGTCATGAGAAATAAGGGGAAAATAGAAACACGTATATTGTGGCCACTAGTGAAAAGCAAGGCAACAAATGGGGTGTTAATCAAAGGTACCTATTAAATGCCATTTTTAGTGCATGCTTAAAAATAAAACAAAGCAACTGATTGGTTATTATGAGCAACACCCCCAAAATTGTCATTGCATTTGTTTTCATAAAAGAAAGACATTTATAATTCAAATGCGATGTGGATAAATCACCTGCAATATTTTTGATTATTAAGTTACCAACTCGGAGAAAGCTTTCTTTTACTGCCAATACAAAGTTCAATGCACCGCCACGCCCCCTCCCACCCCACAACAAAGTGAGCCGGCTGCAATGCGGTCCAGTGCGTTCCGGCCAGAATCGGCCAGACTGTGGCTAGTGTAAACTAGCCATTAAGGTTTTTTTTCCTGTATATCCCAAGTTGTGACTATACTATGCAAGCAAACACCAGTTACTTAAAGCCGACCTCTGGACACAAAAACTTTCTTTGAAAAATATTCCTCAATAGCCACAAAGGATATACATCCTCTTTATGTGAACCTATTGCTTTTGTAAACCCAGTTATTACCATAACAACTTGAAGTGACATCCTCACTGTGCTGTACATAGCCTGAGCAGAGCGCAGAGCTGTGGGAGGGACCCAACAGGCCCCACCCACTACAGGCTGCCTGCAGAAAACTACAGTAGGGGGCGGATACAAGACCAGTCACCCTGCACAAGGAGAGAGAGGAGCAGTGACCGGTCTTTATTACAAGAAGTTCCTACGCAGAGACAAAGAGTCACTGGATTACTGAACAGATCTGGAAGAAATACACATAGCTCACCAAGATTCCAGTAAGAATACACATGACTCTTGTATGAGGACAATATTTTCTTATCCTGGAGTTCAGTTTTAAATACACAACAAGACTCATTTCTGAAAGTCAAGAATGTTGCTTCCATTCAGAAAAGCTGCTTTGCAATGCAAAATGAGTTTTGTGGGAAAATGTCTGTTCAAAAGTAAAAACAGGGATTACGGAGGCAGGATAGCTCTGGATGCACAAAGCTCTGACACAAGCTGAACTATGACTATGCACTATCTTTGCACAGTACAGAGTCTCTATACTGCTGCTGTACAGGAGCTATGGGCTGATGTAGCGGAGCCCCCTTGCACGTTGGACATTTCTGAAGGGTACTGATTTGTATTGCTGTGGGTCCACACTCCCTTTCTATTATAGCAACCTCTGAACATTTCCTTGCCCGGGTATAAATGGGGTTGTCATAGGTGTTCCTATCTCCTGTTGACAGGAAAGTGCTGTTGATACACCTACATCACTGTGAAATACATACTTAGAAAAGCTTCAAGAAGTGGACAGTGTACACCTTAGAATGGACCTAAACTTAGAGAGGTTTGTTTTTATTACATACAGTATATGCATGCTAAGTAATGTACCAGTTGAGAAACATGGAGCAGCGCTACCCTCTTGTCTCCAATCCCACTGCTTGAACCTCGGTGCCTGGTAAAGCGTCCACCGGAGCCTTCACTGAGCAATAGGTTAAAAAAACGGCACTCGCAAGGGGATCCGTCCATCCATACTTTATTTGCAAAAGGGCATAACAGCAGCAAACAAACGCTTACATGTTTCAGCCCCACAAGTTGGGCCATAGTCGTAGCCTTTTAGCAAATAAAGTACCGGATGGACGGACCCCCTTGCGAATGCCGTTTTTGTAACCTATTGTAAGCTAATATACCCATGTAACATTCTCAGGTATCTATTACCTCTCAGACACTGCAGTACCCCTGCTGAAAAAGCCTTTATCTTCCTATCAACCCAGAAGGCTGCCACCATCTTTGTTCAGGCATCATACAGAGGCAGCACCTACGGCCACCAATATGTAAACTCTGCTACCTCCATAGTATCCTTTATGTTCTTTGCGGTGTATATGCAGCTTGTCTTACACAAATCAACAATTATAGCCACCACCCCCCTTGTCATCTGCCGGAAAGTATGTTAGTATAGTCCTACTAAGCCAGGGGTGGGCAAACTCCAGCCCTCCAGCTGTTGTGCAACTACAAATCCCATGCAAGATTCTCACAGCCACAGGCATGACTACCAGAGACAGATACATTATTGGATTTGTAGTTTCAGCTGGAGGACTGGAGTTTGCCCACCTCTATACTAAGTGATGCACTGGGGAGAAAAGATGTGGAAATGCCTGCTGACATCATTCTTCCAAGACTAACCAGCTTCACTTATGTGCAGTATAGTGGCGTAGTGATTAGCGCTTCTATCTTGCAGCACTAGGGGTCCCCGGTTCAAATCCCAGTCAGGACACTATCTGCATGGAGTTTGCATGTTCTCGCTGTGCTTGTGTGGGTTTCCTCCCGCACCAAAGACATGCTGGCTCCTTTAACTGGCTCCTGTCTGCATATGAGATACGGATCTCAGATTGTAAGCGTCTTGATGGTAGGGACTGATGTGAATGTGCGGTATGTAAAGCGCCGAGTACCGTAAATTGCTGGCGCTATATAAATACCTGTAATAAATAATAAACCTGACACTCAAGGGCAGCATTTTAATTATACAGCAGAGTTGTTTTTTATACTGCTGCTCACAGTGGGGTTGATTAACTAAAAGAATAAAGCTGTGTTCATATAAGAAAATGAATCTTCACCTTGCTTAGTGAATAAGGTGACACATTACTGTCTTCAATCATCCAATCATGTCCAAGCAAATATCCTATTTTAAACATTTTTCTTGAATGTGATTGGGTATTATTTGCAAAGAGAATTTTCACTTAAATTCATCTCATCTGCTGACCTAAGTGAAAATTCTCTTTGCAAAGTGAACATGCTCAACTTCTTTAGTACATCAACCCCAATGTCCTCTCCCTGAAAATAATTTCCCTTTAAGATGTACAGTCTCCACTATCTACCCACTAAAACATTCCAGGATGATTAATAGCAGAACAATGTATTAGATTTTAATGCCAGAGCCCAGCACAATAAATCAATGTGGAGCTTTCAGCTGAACCCCAAGGGCCAATTGAGATGTGCTCTGTGTTACCGCACTCACGTTAATGAGTATAATTTATGGCAATAACACACGTTGGGGGGAATTCATAAAAACTGGAGCAGACAAAATCTGGAGCAGTTGCCCATAGCAACCAATCATCCTTTCTTTTTGTTCCGTTAAGCTTTGAAACTGAAACGGAGAAGATGATTGGTTGCCATGGGCAACTGCTCCAGATTCTGTCTGCTCCAGTTTTTATGAATTCCCACCATTTAATTTGATTGGGATTGCACACACACCCTACCGCAGGTTTCTAATGCACCTGCAACAATTTAGTCTTTGCAGTAAAGGTTCAAATCTGTGTTTTGTGGTGCAGTTGAACACACAGGCATTGTAGTGCTCTGCCTAGGTATGTCGGGGTTCCATTCAGATGAACAGAACTCCAACAGACAGGTATGAATTCAGCCTAAGCCTGAACAAGACCCTACAATTATACCTTAAGGCTTAACCACACCCCAGCATTTAACCCTTCACCAAAACCTAACACTTATTTTGACCCTGACATTTAACAGGAACATAGATGGAAAACATATTGCATTTGGATTACATTTTAATGCATGCCAGTCTGTATGTGAATTCCTTTTTTATTTCACGTCTTCATTTATAATTTTCTCCAAATTTACATGAAGACCAAACTGTACAGCAAAAATGACAGCGCCAGAGGGGCTTAAGCAGATTCATTAGTTCAAGAAATTTAACCAAGTAAAAAAAAAAAAAAAAAAAGAAGGTGATCCCTAAAGGCACTCCCAGCAGTGTTAAATGACACTAAACTCAGGAGGTAAATCTTAAAAATACATTCAAGTACCATAACTATTAACAAAAATGTATCTTATTTGTGTATCACTCAAATCATCTCTCCTCAAATCATCTCTGAATTGGTGCTGTCACTGTCCTTCCTTCTGGAGGGTGGCTACTTTTGTTCCCCATGGTCCCTGTGTGTGTTGTAAATTAGCCACCGCTCCAAGCTGACTCCTTTGATGGACTACAATCTCACGTTTACTAATTTGTATTGAGATTGTAGTCCATCTCATGAGGGAGCTTGGAGCGGTGGCTACTTTACAACACACACAGGGACCAGGAAGGAACAAAAGTAGCTCCCCTCCAGAAGGAAGGGCAGTGTCGACACCAATTCAGAGATGATTTGAGGATCTACAGCCGAGTGACACACAAATAAGATACATTTTTGTTAATAGTTAAGGTACTTGAATGCATCTTTAAGAGTTTGTCACTTTAAAGGTGACATTTTTAACATAAACCAATACTGTAATGTGTGCCTTACTGTAATCCATGCTAGTTTCCCTTCTCTTTGCTGCTCTTCCTTTTAAATCCTCATGTCTTCTCATGCTGGGGGAGAAGTTCCCTTTGCAGCTGAGTGCCTCTTCCTGTAGTGTTGGCTCAGGTTGCAAACCTATACACAGACACCATGTATCCATTCCAGAGACAAGGCAGTGTGCTGCAAAACAGAAGTTCTGCCCAGCATGAGAACAGATACAGATTTAAAAAGGAAGAGCAGCAAAGAGAAGAGAAACAACCATGGATTACAGTAAGGCGCACATTACAGTATTGTTTTATGTTAAAAAATCTGAGGGTTTAATGTCACTATAAGGGTTGTCCCAATTGCTGTCACTGTCCTTTTTGTTGGACAGCTTGTCTTGTATGTAAATGTGGAAAAACATAAATGAAGGCGTGTGAAAGAAGAAAAAATAGAATCTAAATAATATTCGGAAGGGGGGGAAACACGTTTCGCATTCCTCTCAAGCAGAGCGCAGGGGAATGATGGGAAGGTCAGTATATGCTGGGAGCCAGGCAGGCTCTAAAGTAAATCTATTTCTGTACTGTGCATGGATAGAGCACATATTCACTAGAACACCAACACA